ATACTTTTTGCAGAAAGAGAGAAGCATGGCACAATAGTCAGCAACTAGCAAATCTACTTCATCATGACACATAACTTCAAGCTCGCGGAACGTTCCGCAGTGCGGGACCTATAATTTGACAAATCAAACACAAAGGTGCGGAGGCCGAATTACCGTCTGACGCGTGTTGAACAAAAAGTCATTATACTTCCGTTAAATGTCGCCATTATTTAACAATTTTGTGTATGTACGTACACCCTCTTGTGTACTGAAATGACAGCCTCCCCAACTCACCTGTAGTTAAAACAACGTCGTGTGAGCAAATTGGAAGGTACCGCCGACCAACGAACCCAAGAACGTATGAAATATAATTTATGGTTACTAGGACTCCCCTAAGGAAACTAAATTATCGTCGTCAGCGTCAACGCAAAGTTGTCAAAAGTAAAAAACAGGAAAACAATTACAACTGACTTAACACTTCCGTTGCTTGTTAGAAAAGCTACAAACGTTTGCCAAGACATCACACGCAAAGAACACACCACTACATCCCATAGCCGAGAGATGAGAAGGCGACAAATTGCTTTGTGTTAACGATGGATACAACAATATTGCACTTCCCATCAAGCACTTCAAATTGTAATTAAACGCGTGCATTGTGCCAGTGTTTCTTACTTTCAACAATTTTTTTTTACGTTGAAAACATATTTGAATATGAGTTTTTAGGCATGTGCTAATCTCCGACCTGGATTTTGAAAACGGTTGGACCCGCAGTTAGGGGAGTTGGTATATGCTATGGACTCTACCCTATTTGATTTCTCCACTACAGAGTACCTTTTAGCCCAATGGCTACACACATATAGTTCATTCACTCAATTAGAAAGAAAACCTCCGCAAATCTCCTTCAACACAACGAAAATAATGAATATTGAACGATTTCCATGCTTATGGTGCCAAGGCATTTTGAAAACAAGTAAATTTTTGGCAGTAACTCAATAGCATTTTACTACCACAGTACTATCTATTTCTTTTTAGCTTGACAAGTGAGTAACATCTCGCTAGATCTCACTTAAAAACGTGCGCATGGAAATTACTGACAAGAATGTAAAGCTTATGTTAAGCAGGTGCAACTCTTATACTATAACAAGAAAGGACTCGAGCGAGCTCAACTCTTAAATACCCTGTACCCACCCCACAAAAAACAAATTTAAAAACAAGTAAAAAAGCTAAAGTCGGGTGTCCCGACTTTGAAATACTCTGTACATATGTTTAGAATAATTATAAAAATTAAAAAAAGTAAGAGAATTAAAAAAAAAATTTGGATCGATTTTACCTCTTTTGGTATTCGTACTCACGTAAAGGGTGTATAATTACACATATACAAAGCAATTGCATCTATGTGAGTGTATGTATGTTTATGCTCGTATATTCGTGTCTGTGTAAGCATGTTCGCAGTCAACCAAAGCACCATCATTAACAACAGCCGCGGGCAGCGCTTGAGCAGCGCTGGAGCAGCAAATATATTTATGGCTATAACTTCTTGTTAAATCGGTCTATCATGATGAAACTTGGCATACGAACACATAATTACTAACTGGGGGTATTTGCAAAATTTTAGTTCGAAATTCTAAGAATTAAGGGAGTTAGAGAAAATCGCGATTTGCGGGAAAACCCCCATAGGGGGGAAGTGGGGGGGAAAATCAAATAAATAAAACAAACTTGCACAGCGTACACACATAAGGCATCTTTGTGCAAAGATTGGTGTCCCTAGCTCTTATAGTCTCTGAGATCCAGGTGTTCATACGGACTGACAGACGGACAGACAGACAGACAGACAGGGCTAGATCGACTGGTCTCGTCATGCTGATCAAGAATATATATACTTTGTGCGGTCTGCCACGCCTCCTTCTGCCTGTTACATTTTTAGCTCCCGCAAACCTAATATACTCTTGTACATTTTATGTACAGAGTATAAAAATGTTAATTAATTTAATTAATTAACTACATTTAACATAAACAAGAGAGAACGCCAGGTAAACTTCCGACACTAAGGTACATGCGCCTCTTGCAGAAGCAAAAGGAAGAAGAAGAACGGACTTCATGATACAGCTTGTGGGCGTAGTACCCGAGTGAAATTGTTTCGATAATAACTTTTCTTAGAATTAACCGATTTATAAAATTCGAAACAAAAGTAGATTATTATGTATAAATTATATTTGCAAAGTTTGGTTAAGGTTAAGCTTTTGAAACGTGGACGGTATTGACGAAATACTGTAGCGGGGGAAGGGAGGGAAAATTCAAAAAAATAAAATAAACTCGTCCTTTCTCGGACCTAGGAGAATCTGGATACAAACTTTGGTTGTTCCAGCTTTTATAGTTTCTGAGATCATCCAGACAGATGGACAGACGGACGGACATGTCTAGATCGATTTCTCTCGACATGCTGATTCAGAATAAATATACTTTATGGAGTCGGAGATGCTGACTTCTGCATGTTACATACTTTGCACAAACCTAATATACCCTTTTTACCCTACGGGTATAAATGTTCCACAAATGCATACATACATAAGTGTTTATGTACAATTTCAACAGAATAAATGTACATCAGAATCATGTCTGTGTTTATATGCGTGTATGTGTGCATCACAGTTAAAGTTAAAGCAGCAAGAACCAACTCTGCGAACAGAGTTTGGGTAGAGATTCGATTTATGGCTATAACTTTCTTTATATTAGACCTATCACGACTAACGGTATGTAGTTACCAAATTTAGGTCCGAAATTCCAAGAACTACGGGAGTTATTGAAGATTGCAAATAGCGGGGGAGTGGGAGGTGCATCGGAAAAAATTAACAAACTTGATCTGCCTAAGGCTTAGGGGAACCTGGGTACCTAGTTTGGTAATTCTAGCTCTTGTATCTTTTGAGATCCTTTCGTTCATACAGACGGACAGACAGACAGACATCGCTATATCAACTTGTCTTGTCATCCTGATCAAAAATATATTTGTTTTTGTGGGGTCAGCCACGCCTGCTTCTGTGTGTTACATACATTCGCACAAAACTAATTTAGGTCTTTAACCTTTACAGGTACAGGCTATAATAATAATATTTTTAATATTTGTAAGCTCAAAGTGTAAAATGATATACTAGTTATGTGCGAATGTATATAACACACGGAAGGAGGAGACCCTACAAAGTATACACGTATTAGTATATTCTTGATCAGGATGCTATATCAGATAAACACTAATTTCATGGGATTGTCGAATTTGAGGGCGTTATGGAAAATCATGTTCAGCGGCGGAGTAAGCAGGTGCATTAAGTGCATGCTCTGTTTTTTACCAAATATAATATGTTGTAGGTACGGCACATATATGTATACGGAAGATGTAAAAATGTTTGTATTGTAGAGTTACATATAGTATTTGCAAAAAATGAATCGCTTTCCTCCTAATGTAAATATTGAGAGAATTTTTGCAATATTTTAATTTAATATATCTTTTTATTTGCTTTTTTCGTAAATCAAACTTTATTTTAAATGTTAATCCATCAACGTGGCAAAATAAATAAACGATATCCAAAAATATTCAATTGTTCATTTTTAACTTAAATCAACTTTTCATGTGCATTGCTTGTGCGCTTAAAACTAAGATATTATTCTGCCGATAAAGCTCATGACCTTAAATTGTAAGGTTAAAATATTCGAATTGGGTAAAATAAAATGAAAGACTTTGCTTTTATAGATTTATGAAGATTGAGGAAACATGAGAATGGTTTGACTTTACTTGTACGTATAGATTGAGGATGATTAAAGAAACATGAAAAAATACACATATCTCATATAACGCTTATGTTCTTTTTTTTAAAGAAATAAATGGATGGAAATAACAAGTAATTTCTTTATGACAATAGATGAATTTTCATAGCTTTTTCTCTATTTTTATTATTTCAATAATAAATTATTTTGAATATGCAGAGAACCACCAGTAGGAATAAGATATTTCAATTGTTGCCCATATAATTTTTTCTACTTTAGAAATGCACATACTCTGACTCTATAAAACATGGAAGAAATTGTACTATACATAGCAAAAATAAAACAGGCTTTCTAAAGCTGCGACTTATTTGGCGAGCATTTCACCAATAAAATCATTCAAAAATAATTAATTAACATGAATGAATTGTTGCAGCACAGTATACATTTTTCAAAAACGAATTCATTTGCCTTTTAAATATAGAACAATTAAAATCGAAATGGTTTGACACAAAACTGATTTTAAACTTAATAATTTGCTTTGCTCAAAATTATAATTACTTTAAGCTATGTAATTCAGAATTTGTTCATTTCTATGATATTTATTTAAGAGCTAATGCCATTGGACAAAAATGATTAATGCAACGTAAGCCCAAAATTGAGCTCAGGCAGTATATTCGTATGTCAACACGCCCTTTAAAAAAGCGTGAACACAATTCCGTGTAAGTATAGAAACATAAATATTTATATATTTTGAGATAAAACTAGCATTTTAAATTCGAACTTTTATGATCTTCAAAATAACTATTATGTTAATGCAAAGAAATAAATAATTTGAATGAACGAAACTTAAGTAAGAAGCCACAGTAACTGTGTCTGCGCAGCCTATATCTTAGTATACATATACATTTTGTTCGTTGAATATTTTTGTTTTGTTTCCGGTTTTGTGCATTCTGTATATGTTTCGTATTTTAAGTTTCATTTATATAATATTATTTAGAAGTAAGTCAATAGTTTTAAGAAGTTCCAAATTCAGCTTGCGTCATTAATAGAAATCATAGTCTACTTGTTTTTAAGTAAACGGAAAGTACATGTTTGAATAGCAGCTAAAAGCCCAATAGTCTTTAAAAATATTTTTTTTTTTTTTTTGATAATGAAGATGCATTAATTTCATTGCTCTGTTTTGCGTTTTCAAATTGGCTTAATATTTGTCTTAAATTATAAATGAAAGTTATAAATGATACCTGAAACATTTTCGGAACTTCCGTAACGAATTTCACTAAAATGATCCGACATATAATACTTCCAGAAAACAAATATTTTAAAAACTGTAGAAGTACTAGTGGACGTAACATCGGCCTGGGTGTATTTGCGGCTGCAACTTTGCAACTTTGCTCACTTTTCTGCCCCATTTGCCAAATTGGCATTGCCAAAAAGCTCCTCATACGATGGCGCTGTTGAACGAAATTCAGTTTTAAAAAATCCGTGTAATGCGTATGTATATTCTTTCAATTGTACACTTACGCAGTTCATTAGCACCAGGAGGCTGACGTGGATGTAAGAAAGATGAACCCGAAGATGTCGACGGCAACTGATTGTAGCCACTAGACTGTGGCAGCACAGCTGGCGATGGAGGAGTTAATGCCAGCAATGTATACTGCGGGGATTCGGGCAACGGATACGGTGGTACGTGGGGCGGTGGATAGGATTGAATCATTAGTGGGCTAGAAGAATACGGCATGTAGGGCACATTAGAACTACGCAGACTGGCCCGTGCTGATGGACTGCCATATTGTGATGACTGAGAGCCCGAGGTGTAAGACAACTCCATCCCGCCCCCGGCAGCACTAAGCGTGGCGGTCGAAGAGTCAGACGTGAAGTTCAGGGAGCTGCAGTCACTATATTGCGAAGAGTGAGACGGCGACCCGATAGACGAGTCCAACGGTGGATAGGTAGGTACACTTGCGCCTGCTACAGGGCCGGTCAACTCGAAAGGATTACCAGCGCTACACTCCGGAGGTCCACTGTCTGAACGAGATGGTGGCAGCGGTCTCTCTGATCTCTGCCGCGCTGACACATCCTGTGAGTATACCTTAAAAGGCAAATTTAGCACCAAATTCTTGAAGAAACCACGAAGTACTGCTTCAACACGCAGTTCGTAAGAAATTGTAATGACGCCACTCATTTCCTCATCACTTGGCTGCGCTGCTTCTGGCATTAGTAGCTCGTGGGCAAAGGAGCGTTCGCTCTTTTTGTGCACTGAACCCGTCTCCTTACTGGTTAAAGCTATACACTCAACTTTCTGCACACGCAACGGCACATGACTGTAGTAGGTTACGTACTGAAGCACAATAAAACGGAGCTTCTCCACATTTGTAGTACTATTGTTCATGATGGTCACACAAATGCGCAAAGGCTCACCACGCACTGCAAAGTCCTCCGGTAGCAAAGCCACCATCGTTATAGGACGAGTGCCAAACAAACTGATGGTCTTGGTTATTTGTTTTTCAAGCGGACTGGGATTCGTTCGATAGGATGCGGGAAGAGGCATATTCTTCACGACAGTAAATGGTATCGTATGTCGCTCATCGAAGGTCCAAGGACGCTGTATTAGTACGCGCATCTTGTACTTAATGCTGCCATGACTTCCCTTGAAACTGGACGGCAACGTCCGACCTAGCGCAACCGAAAATTCGAATGTGTGCTCTCCTGAGCTAAGCTCGATGCCTCGAGGCTCAAACTGCGGCAGCGTCGTTTCACTGTGCTCGTAGATCTCCTTGCTGGTATAAAACAGGCTGCGCGAGTACTCATTGTTGTTAGAGTTTTTGCGTAATATTTCCAACCATTTGCATTTGCCTTTACCAGTGACTTGTATTTTAACAGCTGCAAAACAATAACAGTAAAGTTATCAATTATTTAAAATTGAAAAGATAAAAACTCACAGAGAATATAACAGAATAAATTAGATTTATTTCTGTCAAAGCGACATCTAGCAGTTATTTTTGTAAAATGTATAATAATAGCTGCGTGATACACAACTTCAGCACTCTATGCAACACAGCACCCACCAGTGTTGCCATATTGTATTTTGGGCCTTATTTTAATCTGGGTGCAGTGGCGTACAAATAGTTTTCTTTGCAAACAATTAACTGTTTAACCGGTAAAGAATTATTAGAAAGGACTAATTTTTGAGTCTATCCATATACAACAAAAGGCGCATAAATATAAATTTCGACCATACAAGGGCTTTGTTATAGTTCTTGCGCCACCGCTATTATTTTTTGCGTGCATATTATACGTATGTATGTACATACATACAATGCATATACATACACACATACGAGTATATCTTTTTTCTAGACACACCTACGGAATCACATTATAATTCGATGGAGTAGCGTTGCATTTGTCACAATGAATGCAAATTACATAGCACGTGCGCTATGCTACCATGGCCAGCCTATGCAGAAAATTTGGGAAGACGAACGCAGCGTCGAGGATTTGCGCAATATGGGCCTTATTCAGCCCAATTATAGTGTGTATCAGGAACGCCAGAAGTTCTTCACGTTTCAGGAACGTGCTAAGCGCCTTAAAATGCACCAATTTTTGGCGCGCAAAGCAATCGATTTATATGATAGACACCTTGTAGCTAATGTTATGGAGGATTCTTTACTAGCCCAAGGTACCTCATTAACATTAACATTTTAGAAGGACCTTAAATACAGCAATTTTACATTTACGTTAGCTCAAGATTATGTTGTACCACTTGCACCATTCGAATACTTTCTGAACGTAAAGGACAAGGGCGATGGCGGACGTTATCGGATGAGTGCTTTGAAGCCAGGTGATATTATTTGCGCTGCGGTTCAAAAAATTGTGGGTTCAGCTCGCATTGTGGTCAAACCATTATGCACGGCAGAGCCTCTACATTTCTACTTAGCAGATATTCCCATCAAGGTGAGTACATGGGGGGAAATAGGCTTGCTCCAATATTTAAACGTTTTTGCAGGCAGCGTTGATTGGAAGCACGCGCAATTTCGCGCCTAACGATTTCTTACGCTGCGAAATTCTAGAAGTATCTGCCGATGCCGAGCGGCTAACTCTGGGTACAGCTCCTGGAAACCAGAGTAACGCAACAGACATTAAATTGGGTCTATGCGAGCTAACTGACTTTCCCAAGTACTATCGGTAAGGCAGGAAGCGATAATTATTTGGTCGACTGAACTCACATGTTATGTACTTACGGCTAGACAAATCCACTCGTTAGGATTGGGTCATACCCCACACTACGAGGAGCAGCTCCTTGAATCGTTGGAATTTCAAAACCCTAACTATGATGTGCTATTTCAAATGAATGGCATCCAACCCAATTCAAGTTTAACACTCATAAGTTACCTGAAAGCGGGGTTTCCAGAACAGGATTACGCAGCCGAATTGCGGCAAAAACAGGCTTCACAGTGGGCTTTTCGGTAAGTAGTCACTGCATTAGCTAGTGTTCCAAAAGCAACGAATATGTGACTAAATCCGTCATTATTACCTACCCGTGCTCCCATCCAGCTCCGTGGCTGATGGTATTGAGCATTTTAAAAACGGTCAGCAAGTCGAAGCGTTTCAATGTTTAAATAAGGCCTTGCATATAGATCCACGTAATGTGGAGGGTTTAGTAGCGCGCGGTGCGCTCTATGCAAATCGCGGCTCCTTCTTGAAGGCCATTGAGGACTTCGAGAAGGCGCTCTGTTTAAATAAGTACCATGTGAATGCGCGTAAATATATGGGCGAAACATTAGTTGCGCTTGGTCGCAGTTACGAAGAAGACAACCGGCTGCCAGAGGCGATAAAGGCCTATAACGATTGTCTTCATTTGCTGCCACAGCATGAGCAGGCGCGCCAGTTGCTGGATGCTCTTCAGCGACCGCAAGTAGCACAAATGTCCCAGCTGTATGGAGATATTCACACACACATGCCTGTTGGAGGAAACATGGGCAAAGCAGCGATCGTTGCAGCTCAAACAGCACATTCATCGGATGATGATAGCTCCTCCAGCGGTAGTGAGAGCGAGAGTGATGACCAGATTCCAAGTAAGTATTTCAAATCTTATCGCTCTACATTTATACTATACCCAAAAATCGTGAGTTTTCATACTAAAAATTCCTTCAATATTTTTACATCAAATTAGTTTAGTTTTAACGAGCTTTTTGAACGATAGTGTATAGATTCTATTTTCACGACTTGAGGCTTCGTGTAAATGTGTCCTTTACTTGCAACTGATGAGATCTAACCTATTATCACTTTTAGCTGGCAAACCCCACCATCATGGGGCCGGATTACATTTTAACCAGCCCTTTTATGCCATGGAGCCTGCCGTCAGCGATGCACAAAAGGCAAATGAGTTCAAGCTGGACGATGATGAGACCATGAGTAGCGTACGCAAACTATTGCGCGATGCCAACAAGCACAAAAAAGCAAAGAAGAAAGGCAAAAAGAAGCAAAGCAGGGGGCGCAGCAAGGATAAAGGAAATCCCAAAAGGGAACAACGAGATATGGATACTGTGGAAATGTTGAAGAAAATTGATTTTAATGAGGCCTATAGGTAAGTGTTTTGCGTAAATGTTCTTGTGTTTTTACTGTAATCTGTTCATGCATTCCGTCATGTACATTTGTGTGTATGTTTATATGACTGACTAAGTATGTGGACATTATATACTATGAGAGATTCACGCAAAGCCAAAGCTCAGCAAATTATACACATATCAATAAAGGTATTGAAAACAGATTATGAGTTTGCAAAACCTAATTCAATTCGTATGTTTGCACCCTATACCCAAAAGATAAATGGGTATACTAGTTTAATGTGAAAGAGGCGTGCCAGACCCCCAAAGTATATATATTATTGGTCAATATAAAAGATCAGTCCATTTTATAGCCATGGTAATCTGAACGAAAAGATCTCAGAAATTACAATAGCTGGAGCAAACTGAGCCTTAGGCAGGTTAAGTTTATGGTTTTGTTTTCTGATGGCCCCCACTCCTCCGCTATTAGTGATTTTCCATAACTTTCGGAATCTTCTCTACTGAAATTTGTTCTTTTTGTAGGTGGGTACAGAGTATTTGGGAGTTCGACCCGCTTAACTGTAGCATTCAATTCTTGTTTTCTTAATAATTAAGTATGAAAAGTTTTAGCATATTTCTAGTGAAAAATGTGTCAGTAAACTTTTTAAAGTGTTTAAACATAATATGCATAACACTCAGACAAGCCCTTCTCGTATGTAAATATATGATATGTTGTCGAAGGCAAGCGAAATTGAGCTTTGCGGGAATGTTATCTTATTGACTTGCTTGCCATCTATATCGAAATTTGCTTACAGACTTATGACCAGTGCTCGCAACGAGGCGCAACTTAAGGCTAATTTGCAGAAGTACATTGAACAAAGTCAACATTTTAGCTTAAAGCCGTCAGAATCTTCACCGCCCCCGCCACCATCAATCAATATGATGTCTAATGCATATGATCATATGGGACCTAGCACCTCCCAATATGCAGCATCTGTAGCTGCAAGCAGCAGTCATGAGGAGCGGCCACCACCCGCACCCAAATCGAACGAGAGCCAAAAACTTTCTTTTCAAATCAAAAAAATTGACAAATTCGGCATGGTCCGTTTGGCAACGCCTCTCAATAGACAGCAAAGTTCATCACACTCTCGTTCACGTTCGCGCTCAGGCACAAACTCGCCACATAAAAGGCGCAACGAAAGACGTCAGCCTAGCTCACATCGTAGTGGACCTCTGCGTTCTCACAGTCCTTCGCCCAGATTTCGGAGCCGTCGATTCAGAAGCAATTCCCGGAGTCGCACTCGGTCACCGGCTAGAAAACGATATGTTCCTGGACGATATGCACAGTTACGCGGTGGAAATCGCTACAATAACTTTCTCCGAGACCGATCACGTTCACGCTCTTTTGGCCGACGTCGTCCATCACCATTTCACTCGCGCCGACGCACCCCCTCGCCATTTCAGCCGCGTCGTCGCACTCCATCACCATTTCAGCCACGTCGACGCACTCCATCACCATTTCAGCCACACCGTCATTCCGGATCCACAAGTCCAAAACGGGAACGTAATAATCAACGAGGACGTGGGCGCGGTCGCTACACTTGGGTCCGCACAGCCGATGCTCGCACCAATGTGGATAAGCACGCCGACAGCAATGGCCAACGAAGGAAGAGTAAGAGCAACGATTGTGCTGGAAAAAAACCACCAAATGCAGCCGAAAAAGGTAATGATCCCACTATTGAGGAAATCGACGAGATGATCAAAGAGGCGCGGAAGGAACGCAAACAGGGAATTATCGAGAGTGATAAGAATATTCTAAAGAAAGTGCAGTCAACGAACGAAAAGTGATAGCTAAGTTGACAACTTTAGCAATGTAGGTGGGACTGGACCTGCAGAAATGTTGGCAGCAGCTTTAAGTTTCTTAGTCTATGCACGATAATGGTATTTAATATGATTGTAATAAGTTCTCTTTTTCGGCGTTTACGCCTATTATTAAGAAAACCACACCAATAAAGCTTTCGAAGCCCTTTGCATGATTCGCATGATAAAGTATAAATATTTTTTTTAATTTTTCATACAGTTAATTATGAATTACAATACGCTCGAATATGCTAAAAACTGCACATGGCAGTAGCAGTAATACCGGCTATAACATTCACAATAGACGGCGCAACGTTTTCAGGGCGCATTTGAGACGAACGTATTTTCTCACCAATACAAATATACCGCTGAGAGCACCCTGTCTCAATTGGCTATCTGGTATTGGTTATCTGTGTGTGTTTGAAAATCATACGAGCCGCATACACACATACCTGTGTGCATATGTATGTACGTACGAAGTCTGGAAGCTAAACAAAAATTAAACCCATTCAAGATTTTGCCTTTTAGTTGATTTTTGGTTGCGACGGCAACAGGATCGCCCAATTTTGGGATTATGTGCATAGCAAAAATAAAAAAAATTATTAAGGCAGCAGTTGAAGAGAACAACGTGTAATCAGAATACAGGCAACAAAAGTAATAAATAAGTACATCGGAATATACGAAACAGCGCAGCTGGGCTATTGTACTGGCTACTGTATACAAATTTAGATGTTCATGTAAGTGCCAATTTACATAAGAGCTTGGCCACAAAGTGTAAGAAAAAATAAAGTAAATTGCGCCGACTTTAAACGAAAAAAAAAAACAAAATATAGCAAACACACTGTGTTGTGTAGCGACTTGGACTTTGAACGATAAGCAAGCAGCAACAACAATGAAAAGACAAAGAGCATAAAGTTATAAGATGCCGATTTGCTGCCACTGCTGTTATTGTTGGTTCGCCCGGCCTGTCGGCTGCCCTGCACCTGTTGCTTGGTGCCTTATGTCCCAACTAATATGGCTTGTATTACAATGACTTCAAAGCATTATTAAGTTTCGCTCTGTTTGTATTTTACAGATGACCACACCCACCCCCACTATAATGTACACAAAAATCTTTCGTGCTGTGATAATCGGTGCACCCGGCTCTGGCAAGGGGACCATATCTGAACGTATTGTTAAAACCTTTGGCTTTCTACACATCTCCTCTGGTGACCTGTTACGTCAAAACATTGTAAAAAACACAGAATTGGGCAGGAAGGCCCGCGAGTTTATTGCCGCTGGCCAGCTAGTGCCCGATGATATTGTAACAAAGGCGATGCTGGGGCGCATCACTGAAGTCGGAAACAAATCTTATATACTGGATGGATTTCCCCGAAACAGTGAACAAGCTGAAGTCTTGTCGGTTCGAGAACAAATCGATGCTGTTATTAATCTAAACATTCCACACGATGTCATTATCGAGCGTGTTAAAAATCGTTGGATTCACGCGCCGTCTGGACGCATCTATAACATAGGTTTCAGTGATCCTAAAGTCCCTGGCAAGGATGATGTCACGGGAGAGTCTCTGACACAGCGAGAGGATGATAAGCCAGAGGTAGTAAGGAAACGTTTACAACTATACGAAGAGCTTATGGATCCAGTTTTGTCCTGGTATGACAAACGTGGGCTAGTAACCAGCTTCAAAGGTCGTGAAACCAAAGAAATATGGCCACGTGTCGAACGTTTTCTCAAGGATAAGATCAACAAGGGCTAAGCCGTGGCCTTAAGGCATATTGTGCCAAGCCATTTTTTTTATTAATAGAAAACAATATAAGAAAATCATTGCCGTCTCAATAAAGCCCGAACATGTTTGTAGATATATCGTATGTGTACATGTGTATTTGTACACTGGGCTACGCCTTCTGTGGTTTTGAGCTAATAGAATATTGTGACAAATTAGTTTCATCTGCGAAGCCATACGATATAACAAAAAAAAAACGAATTTTCCCAAAAAGCCAAAATATTTTCCCTTACACAAAAGCGTCTCTTGGATCAGCACACATAAGTACTATATATACGCAGTGCTATATAATATATTTGTACAAATAAATGTGCAATGATAATAAATCAATGCTTATATTGCGTACATATTTTGGAATTTGCTTGTATGTATGATATGAAATTTTTTCAGCAACGGGCAAAAAATCAAAGCAGCCGTATGGCTTCAAAGGTAAACTAAAATGCCGTTTGTTCGCGAGCGTAGCGTACTTAAACTTGAAAGATAACAGTGGCGCTCTCGCAACAGTCTCACGCACACATCCACGAATAAAACAAAACCATCATTCTTACAGTACTTATTGCTGTACCCAGATATAAGATTTTTTATTTGTTACGAACGCATACAAGAGTGAGCATTCAAAGCCACAGATGCAAAAACGTGTATTAATACTAATCCATGTAGGGTTCTTTTCCTACCCTTCACTGAGAAATTAAAGAAAAGATTGTATTTGGCATGCAAATTTGTACAACTTATTGAGATACAGGGACAAAAAAGGCTTTAAAACAGCTTTATATCTGCAAATTGATTGAAAACAAAATTGCATATTTTATAGAATTGTATAGCATTGCAAATCCGCTCCTATATTTGCTCCCGAAGCTGTTTTGGGAGTAGAGTCTTTTGTTTCTATTTGGCTTATAAACAAACACAACCTTTTCAATAGCAACGCACCTTATGTGCAAGAGACCAAACAATTAGGAAAATAGCTTAAAGAAGCATTTACTGAAACGAACGCGAGATGAGTGTGTCAAATAACTACCGATAATTAATAAACATAATTATTCATCAAAGAACTCATGCAGTAGGCACATTTTTCATTGTTGCCCCTGTTTTCTTGAAGCTTTTAAGAAATTTCTTTGATTTTGCTAATGCGGTTTCTGTAAATGTACGACTGCAAAAATTACCTAAATGAGTCAGGTGCGGCGGATGAAAAAACTTTTAACTCAAGATTCGCAAAATATTGGAACATGTATGTACATACATACATATGTTTCAATGTATGTATGTTAAACTTACCGCGTATTTTGGTACGTTTAATAACGTTTAACCAAATCTCGCCCCGTATAATGTCACCGGCGAAGTAAATATGATCCGGATTGTGCAATGTGATGCGCAAACGTTCGGTCATCGTTGCTGCTTTTCCTGTAGTGCTCTTCTCATTAAACTGCACGACAAAAAACAATTCAACGCATCCAAAAATATTTTCGCCAATATTAATATGCCCCTACATTGGACCACGACGCATCGCACTGCACACCGCGCCCTCGACTATAAATGCAAAACTATATACACACATACATATGTACAAGCACATAATACAACTCGACGACTAACTACACGCGTCTTTCGATTTTCAATTAATTGGCGTACATTATTCACAATTAGAAATGGCACTACTCTTTAACGAAAAGGCTCGCAGTTAATTTCAGAATTTAATACGTTCCTGTATGGGCAATCCGAGGACAGTAAGCCAAAACAATATTTGAATAATTTTATTAAAACTCCCGAGAAACAATTTTCTTTATTTTGTTGGCTGTCAGGGAACAGCTGATAAAACGGCGTTGCCACCCAACGCGACTGGGTTGAATTTTAAACAACAAAGGGCCGTTGAGCGCAATCATATAGAAAATCATTTTAAACAATTGATTAGTACACATGCGAGTATGTATGTACTTACAGATACCATATAATATTCCGGTTTATACATATTTATGGAGTAAAATAACACTGCTGAACCACGTACCTTCTTATTTCTACGCTATTAGTGCAACGTAAAGTACGAGCGCTATCGTTCGTAAAACATGTGGCTATACCTTATTTATTAATCCACTCTGGGTTTAGTATGAAATTGTTGCTTGGTGCGTGTGTCCGCATTTTCGCGCATAGCGTTTGCTGTTTGCCTCAGTGTCTTCTACTGCTAATCCCACCCGCTGTAACAATAATATAACAATATAACAAATTCAAGCATTGGATTTCCTGTAAGCGAAAGCAAGCTTTAAAAAACACATTTACCAAAGAAAATTATTGTTGTTCCAGTAGCAAGACGAGACAACGCCCCTCACTGCCAAGATGAGTAGCAAAGTAACATTTGCATTCGATAACAATCCACTAGGTGTATATTATGCCGGCCAGGTGATTTCCGGGACAGCAGAACTTATCACAGAGCGTCCCAAAACTATACGCTGTAAGTTTAACAAGACAATAAAAATGACGTCACCGTCACTGTTCTTCATTAACTTGAATTGCGTGTGCGCATTATATTTTTGTTCAATTTCGTTATGTTATTGTAGATGGGTAGCACGGACAAATGTTATTATTGTAGCAGTTGGCCATTTGATTCTGTAGGGACAAAAAAAACAAGTTTTTAAATTCAACAATATCGAAGCATTTTTTATTCTATTTGAGTTGTTTGCGCCGAACCGGCATGTGAAGTTAGACAGCGAGCAGATTGTCTCTGAAGTTTGTTGGAGTTGAACCGGTTATAGGTCTAGTAAATTTGTACGCACCCGGAAGTACAATCAGCTAAAAACTAAACGCTCGCGTATTGTTTTATACATTTCAACACAAACCAATTATGCATTAATTGAATAAGCACTTTTTTATATTTTGAAGTACCGTATATTGTGAATATTTATAATTCGATGTAAAGACCATTATGTATGTAAACTATGTATGAGTGACCACGAAGAGCTTAATAGAACTACAAAGCAAATTACTGCAACGTACAATGTAGCAAGTGCGACTGTTTCTCCCACCCACAGCTATTTTCATCACCGTGAATGGTTTCGTTGAGACACGCTGGCAGGAGGACGTTGAAAAGCCCGGCACCGATGGCAAGCCGATTAAGATAGTTGAGACTCATACAACTACAGAGATTTATTACAGTAGTGACAAATATGTGTATGGACAGAGTGGTGGATCGCCACTGGAGCTGCCAAAGGGAAAGTATGTTTTCCCATTTCAGGCAGCCATACCGTTGAACGCACCCACCTCTTTTAATGGTATGCACGGACAGATTAAACATGAGGTGACCTTGACAATTGACCGCGCAGTACGCTACAATAATATTTTCAAGCAATGCTTTACGGTGATTTTGCCGTACGATCTGAATCAACAACGCGAAAATCTCGTGAGTCTACTTTCTCAAGTTTAAAATTTAAATTTATGAATAAATTTGTATTATACTTTTAGCAACCACAGCATCGTGTCGAGGAGAAAACCTTTTGGTGGGGATCATTGTTTGGTGGTAAGCCAATGATTATGGATGTCAGTACATCGTACAGTGGGTATGTGCCAGGACAGAAAATACAGTTTAAAATTCTCCTCGACAATCAATCGGAAGTGCAATGCCAGGACGTCAAGGTGCGACTGTTCAAAAATGTGAGTTATCGTGCCAATTCTGGAGAGGAGCAGCTTAAAAAAACCGAGGCTCGCATTGCTGATAAACACTGTGGCGAGGTCTTGAAACACAACAAAGCCGAGTTCAAGGAGTTTCTAATAGTGCCGCCAACAACACCCACAACGCAATCGCCACATGATCCCATTAAAGTAAGCTACACGTTGCGTTTCATAGCCAAAACTTTTCGTTTGCATGGCGGGGGTGATCTGGTGGTGAATTTCCCTATAGTTATTGGCACAGTTCCACTTATTGGAACAACCGACGATCAGGGACTAGCAGTGCACACCCCCTTACGTAAGTTTCATTTTATAAAATGCACTTGTTATATCCAACTTCTTTATAATAATAATACAATTTTATCCAGGTCCACCTATTTTTCAAGAGGATGTCAACAATGAACAATTCGAGGCAAATACTTTCAAACCTCGTTATCCCGTATTCTTTCAAAATGCGCTTCTTCAAAATGGCGAAGGAAACTGCGCTACATCCAATATACCGAGCCTTTACCCAAATGTCGCAAATGCGTCAAAACTATCACTACCAAATATTGGGCCAAATCCAATTCCTGCTGCTGCTGCATCCAATCCGCCATATCCGACAAAAACTAACGCGCCAACTGCTACCAAAATGAATACAGGAAACGGAGACGGCGCTTTCGAAGTGCTGGGATTTAGCATACCACCGGACTACCAGCCCACAGCTAGTGCACCTGCAGCAGCCAGCAGCGACATAGGCTGGAAGTAAATCTTATGAATTTATTTTTTTTTTTTTAGAATCTGCCACAGAAGTTGAATTTGCACGAACTGAAAACAACAAACACTTCATATTTTAATTAAGTCCGTGCTCGTGTTGACTCAATAAGGCACAAGGAAATACGATTTAAAAAGCAAATACGAATTATTCCACTTTTTGCACATAGTTATGCATTTGTATACATATATTTTATTGTTGAATAAACAAATTATGTTGGAATACGCATATCTACAAATTAACAGAGTTAACGGTATAATATAATATATGTACATAAAATAATTTACATACATATGTATGTATGTATGTATGTAATTTATAGCGTTTCCTTAAATTGGACTACCATTTACATAAAAATGTATGTATGTATACAAGTATAAATAAAACATCCGCTTTCTAGTATTTAAGTATCCCCTCAGCTTCCAAGCTCCTACCAGTTAGGACAAACTGTTTTAATATGTAAATATGTACATACATATGTATGTATGTATGTATATAGAGATATGTATACATATATATGTATGTATAGATAATGGACAACAATTAAACTAAGAAGAACAATGTAAGCAAAGTAGATACATATAAACAAATATGTATACTAATAAAGCATAACCTAGGAAAATTTATTTCATTTATTTTATTTTTGGACAAGCGAAACAAGTACAATTTGTATTGCTTATGCCTTTAATCTCCTGAGAGTATTATTTGAAAAGATCACTGCTTCGCTCTTGATTACCAACCTTCTAAGAGAATTTATCACACTCTTGTATGAGCTTAAGAAACAACGACAAAAACACCAACAACAGCAGCACGCACACAGAAAAAACGCTCTCTTTCAGAACAGCGAATACGATCTAAAATGGCGGCTGTTAGTGCTTTTATATTCAATGCTAGGCTTGTTTGTTTCAGTTCGGCTCTTGACTCCGCAGTGTTCAGATGTGTGATGCGCACTTGTCTCTTCGTAAAATCGTAATTCTCGGGAAACTTGTATTGCAGACTTAATAATTGGAATGTACAAATCTAACTGTGTCGGTGCCTGTGGATTTGTAGAGAAAAGTCAATGGAAAGTGAAATGTAATTTTGTTTTGTTTTGAAAAGTGATGTGCTAGTTTTGTCTTCTCTACACATACATATTCATATGTATAAAAAATATACAATTAATCGTAATTAGCGCGAAGCTTTGTGCAGTATTCTAAATAATTTGAAAAATCAAAACCAACTGTGTCTGTCGGTGCCGGTGCGTGTGCATTTGTAGAGAAAAGTCAATGAATAGTGAAATGCGCCAAAATTCAATAATTTTGTTTTGAATAGGGATGCGCTAGTATTTTTCTCTACACATAAAAATATATACATGTTCATATGTACATATGCGTACTGTTCTAATACAATATATATTTTGCTGTTTTTGGTTTTGAAATGAAGTGTCCAACAACACTTAATGAATAATAATTCGTGTGGTGCGAAAGTACGCAAAGCGTTTATGAATAGTTAAGTAATTCTACTCAAGGTAAGTACACAATTTATATAAAGAATATGTGTGAATACATATGTATGTACATACACACATACATACATAAACATGCATACGAAAGACAGGTTGCGAAATTATGTATTTAATGTGTGTGAGTGCTCTTTGTGCGTATGTACGCATTTACAGTTGGAAGGAATTTCTGCTGAAGCTGCCCGTTACTTTCATGCATGCGTCTGTATGTGTTCGTGTGTGTGTTGTAACGGCAAATTTTAAATTCGTTGTGGCTATGGTTGCTGCTTCTAAATTTCGTGTGAATAGTATGGATGTGTATATACATAGACATAGATTCGACAGACTTGTCGCGAAGTAATAGAAATAATATACATATGTATGTACATAATAGGCGCGTCTTTGGTGTGTGCGAGTCGTCTTTGTGCGTATGTGTATATAGAGATATGTATACATATATATGTATGTGTTGATAATGGACAACAATTAAACTAAGAAGAACAATGTAAGCAAAGTAGATACATATAAACAAATATGTATACTAATAAAGCATAACCTAGGAAAATTTATTTCATTTATTTTATTTTTGGACAAGCGAAACAAGTACAATTTGTATTGCTTATGCCTTTAATCTCCTGAGAGTATTATTTGAAAAGATCACTGCTTCGCTCTTGATTACCAACCTTCTAAGAGAATTTATCACACTCTTGTATGAGCTTAAGAAACAACGACAAAAACACCAACAACAGCAGCACGCACACAGAAAAAACGCTCTCTTTCAGAACAGCGAATACGATCTAAAATGGCGGCTGTTAGTGCTTTTATATTCAATGCTAGGCTTGTTTGTTTCAGTTCGGCTCTTGACTCCGCAGTGTTCAGATGTGTGATGCGCACTTGTCTCTTCGTAAAATCGTAATTCTCGGGAAACTTGTATTGCAGACTTAATAATTGGAATGTACAAATCTAACTGTGTCGGTGCCTGTGGATTTGTAGAGAAAAGTCAATGGAAAGTGAAATGTAATTTTGTTTTGTTTTGAAAAGTGATGTGCTAGTTTTGTCTTCTCTACACATACATATTCATATGTATAAAAAATATACAATTAATCGTAATTAGCGCGAAGCTTTGTGCAGTATTCTAAATAATTTGAAAAATCAAAACCAACTGTGTCTGTCGGTGCCGGTGCGTGTGCATTTGTAGAGAAAAGTCATGAATAGTGAAATGCGCCAAAATTCAATAATTTTGTTTTGAATAGGGATGCGCTAGTATTTTTCTCTACACATAAAAATATATACATGTTCATATGTACATATGCGTACTGTTCTAATACAATATATATTTTGCTGTTTTTGGTTTTGAAATGAAGTGTCCAACAACACTTAATGAATAATAATTCGTGTGGTGCGAAAATACGCAAAGCGTTTATGAATAGTTAAGTAATTCTACTCAAGGTAAGTACACAATTTATATAAAGAATATGTGTGAATACATATGTATGTACATACACACATACATACATAAACATGCATACGAAAGACAGGTTGCGAAATTATGTATTTAATGTGTGTGAGTGCTCTTTGTGCGTATGTACGCATTTACAGTTGGAAGGAATTTCTGCTGAAGCTGCCCGTTACTTTCATGCATGCGTCTGTATGTGTTCGTGTGTGTGTTGTAACGGCAAATTTTAAATTCGTTGTGGCTATGGTTGCTGCTTCTAAATTTCGTGTGAATAGTATGGATGTGTATATACATAGACATAGATTCGACAGACTTGTCGCGAAGTAATAGAAATAATATACATATGTATGTACATAATAGGCGCGTCTTTGGTGTGTGCGAGTCGTCTTTGTGCGTATGTGTATATAGAGATATGTATACATATATATGTATGTGTTGATAATGGACAACAATTAAACTAAGAAGAACAATGTAAGCAAAGTAGATACATATAAACAAATATGTATACTAATAAAGCATAACCTAGGAAAATTTATTTCATTTATTTTATTTTTGGACAAGCGAAACAAGTACAATTTGTATTGCTTATGCCTTTAATCTCCTGAGAGTATTATTTGAAAAGATCACTGCTTCGCTCTTGATTACCAACCTTCTAAGAGAATTTATCACACTCTTGTATGAGCTTAAGAAACAACGACAAAAACACCAACAACAGCAGCACGCACACAGAAAAAACGCTCTCTTTCAGAACAGCGAATACGATCTAAAATGGCGGCTGTTAGTGCTTTTATATTCAATGCTAGGCTTGTTTGTTTCAGTTCGGCTCTTGACTCCGCAGTGTTCAGATGTGTGATGCGCACTTGTCTCTTCGTAAAATCGTAATTCTCGGGAAACTTGTATTGCAGACTTAATAATTGGAATGTACAAATCTAACTGTGTCGGTGCCTGTGGATTTGTAGAGAAAAGTCAATGGAAAGTGAAATGTAATTTTGTTTTGTTTTGAAAAGTGAAGTGCTAGTTTTGTCTTCTCTACACATACATATTCCTATGTATAAAAAATATACAATTAATGGTAATTAGCGCGAAGCTTTGTGCAGTATTCTAAATAATTTGAAAAATCAAAACCAACTGTGTCTGTCGGTGCCGGTGCGTGTGCATTTGTAGAGAAAAGTCATGAATAGTGAAATGCGCCAAAATTCAATAATTTTGTTTTGAATAGGGATGCGCTAGTATTTTTCTCTACACATAAAAATATATATGTACATGTTCGCATGTACATATGCGTACTGTTCTAATACAATATATATTTTGCTGTTTTGGTTTTGAAATGAAGTGTCTAACAACACTTAATTAATAATAATTCGTGTGGTGCGAAAATACGCAAAGCGTTTATGAATAGTTAAGTAATTCTACTCAAGGTAAGTACACAATTTATATAAAGAATATGTGTGAATACATATGTATGTACATACACACATACATACATAAACATGCATACGAAAGACAGGTTGCGAAATTATGTATTTAATGTGTGTGAGTGCTCTTTGTGCGTATGTACGCATTTACAGTTGGAAGGAATTTCTGCTGAAGCTGCCCGTTACTTTCATGCATGCGTCTGTATGTGTTCGTGTGTGTGTTGTAACGGCAAATTTTAAATTCGTTGTGGCTATGGATGCTGCTTCTAAATTTCGTGTGAATAATATGGATGTGTACATACATAGACATAGATTCGACAGACTTGTCGCGAAGTAATAGAAATAATATACATATGTATGTACATAATAGGCGCGTCTTTGGTGTGTGCGAGTCGTCTTTGTGCGTATGTGTAAGTCTCGGCGTTAGATTGGATGCTGACCGTTACTTTCATGTATGACAGCGTATGGGCAATTTAAACAGAAAAGTAGTTTTTTGTCACGTTCGAATCGATTTTATTTTGCTTTTTTTTTTTGAACCATGATCTTACGCCTGAAATCAACCTTCCAATTGAAAATAGTTCTACCAAAGAGCTATAAACTAAACTAGTAAAAAAGAGAATGTGGCTTACACTGACTTTTTCCCTTTTAAAAGCGTACAACTGCCACGTTCTCAACCAACAAATGTCCTTATCCGCATGGTGTACATATGTATGTATATACACATTTATGCGTAAGCACTATCTACATCCATATCTATGTATGAATTTCACTTTGCAGTTCAATATTAAAATGTGTTCCATTTAATATATACATTACGT